GTGGTAGTGGTAGTGGTAGTAGTACAGCAGTCTTTTCGCCGTCGCCGCCATGGTCGACATGGTGCGGTCCTGGTGAGTTTCTTCAGTGGCACTGGTAGTGGTGAGAAGTTGTAGTAGTGCCGGCATGGAGTTAGTAGTCGTAGCAGCAGTAGTTGTGTCGCAGTAGTCGCATGGAAGCAGTGATAGTCGGTGGAGAGCAGGAACAGCAGGAGGATGAGCAAAACCAGCAAAAAAGGAGCAGCCGCGGCAACGACGAGGAGCAGGAGGAGCCAGTGTTTGCATGAGCTGAACATATCCAGGCGGCAGAGCAATCAATGCACTCGGTGTTGCAGGGCGTCCGAGCACCACCACATGCCACCATATCGCCACCGGGGTGTTCGACTTGAAGGCCCGAAGCACGGCTGAGGTACCGTTCTTGCTGGCGACGGCCGCGCTGGTCGTGGCCGGCATTTGGGTTGCCCTGACGTACCCGTACCTGGAGTTCGAGTTTCGGATCGCAGGCTGCAGGGGGTGTACGCTCCAGGGTAACCATCGCTGGTTCAACAGGCCTAGCGAAGAGTGCGAAGCTCTTTAAGGCAAGTTTTTTGGGCATGTGTCGAGCTGCAAGTTCTGCACTAGTCGGTCGAGAACGCCCTGACTCTCCATCACTCCCTAATCAGGTGTGGCGATCCACCGGGTGACTCCTACTGTCCTGGACCTGTGGCGGAGCATAGGCTCCGTGTCATGGTTTCTGATGTGCTTCTCAGCCTGTACAGTGACGCTTGTCGGCAGCTTTGGGTCATTCGGGATCTGTGGGAATTTATGGTTCTGTCATGCCGCTCGCGGCAGTTGTTCCGCATTGGGGGCCCGACTGTTTGCTAGAAATGTCAGGCATTTTGGATGAGCTTGTGTAGGATGGAGAAATGGAGCAAGCATAGAGATCAGGCAACCAACAGTGACAGCAGCTGTGAGCAGTGCTCAAGGGCAGAAAAAGATGAGAAGGTGGAGCGGGATCTCCAGATGTCTTCACGTGGGAAATGTAGTACGGAGGGGCAGGATCAGGGGGGTGACGCTTTCTACAAAGGCAATCAGAAGCAGCAAGGAAATTTCAAGATTCCAAGCTAAAGAAGGGAAACAACTTCCAAGACTGCCCGTCTAAGGATCTTGCTGCCCTCGTTGTGGGTAGTGTCCCGGCCCATGTGCCAGCAGTCTTTTGGAACCCAGCATACGGCCGGAGGGATTGCAGCTGATTTGGGAGTCTCTGGCATACAGGGTCTTGGTTTAGAAACCCAAGATTCGCACTAGAAAGGTCATCACCTTCAGAAGAGTATCCCAATCACAAAAAAGCCACCAGCCCAGGTGTTACTCTGTTGCCGGCTGCAGCCGGACTCCTCCTTCGGCTGGGCTGAGCACTGGCTGAGGCCTTGGGCACCTGCCCTGCAACAAGGCTTTTCTTGTCGCAAAGCTGTTGATAGCCACGTACATGTAGAGCCAAAGTGGGTAGACTCGACATCGGGGTTGCAATGTTGTGGCTTCTTCAGGCCGAATTGTGATCCATTTCCAGATGTATCGGTAAGTATTCAGGGTATTCCGTGCATTCGCACGGCCTCTCCATGCGCAATGCTGCGCTGGAGCGCCGAAGAGGAGCTACTCTAGGTAGTTAGAGTAGGGTTTTGGAGCATCGCGTGGTATAGTTTCAGTAAGGAGCCTCAAGCACTATCAACCCTAAGCCCTGAACCCAAAACCCATCCAGCACTATCCGCTACTTGAGGTCATGTGCCACATCTGGGCGGCATCTCTGGCTTCTCGGCGAGCTGAGTTACCTTCAGGACCCAGAGCCGGATAGAAACCGAGAAGTGTACAAAGACGAAGCCCAAGGCCCTAGAGGAGCTTTCTTAGACCACATGCGGAGAAATTCAGGGGTAGGTGTAGGGCAAACTGTCCTAAACCTGAGGCAAAATGTGCTGCAAGCCGTATGGCTTGTCAGTGGCAAGAGCTAGGGTCTCCAGTTTAGGGCCTGAACGGTTTAGGGTGTAGGGTTCAGGGTCTCCAGCTGGCAAAGAGCCTGGGTTCAAAAAAGGGTTTAGGGTTTTGGGTTTAGGGCCCTTTAGCATGGTGACCCTCGAGGTCCTGGTCTACTACATCGTGACTCTTGGCCGGGATGGAAATTGAGGCTCTTCTTGGAGGTTCATGGGTAGTCCCGGCTTGCTCACATTGACAAGCCACTGACTTTCCGATGCCTTCTGACCATTTTTTCCGTTTCCTTGCGCCACGACGGATTCCAGCGCTTTTTGAATCCGGTTTTTCTAGGGCAGGCTCGGCCCAGCCACAGCGATCTTTGACAGGGCTGATGAAAGATGGGTGCAAAGCTGCCGCGTAAACTTGGGTGGTGGAACATAGAACAGGTTGGGGCTTCCAATAACGAGACCCTAAACCCTAAACCCCAAAGCCCTAAGTAGCAAAGGATCAAGGACTCATCCGTCTTCCTTTGTAAGGTTTAGGCACCGCAGCAAGAAAGCACAGCTCGGCCCAAGCTGAGGATGGCCAGGAATCAAAACACCATGGAGGCCGACTCCAGGGCAGTTTCGGAAGCACTGGCAGCTTGTGCTCTTCTTCCTGAGTCTGTGGGGCAGTTTTGCTTGTTCTGGCTTCCTCGCTGCAGGTTTTTGCAGATGGCGCAGTTGTCTGATTTCGCTCCGGCTGTGAGAAGCGCACCCTAAACCCTGGCCCTAGGCCCTAGACCCTAAACCCTAGACCTTGCCAGGCTTTGTCCGAGTGTGAGTGTCGAACGGACCGGAGGTGTGCGCCACGTTCCCATCCCTGCCTCTGGGGCTTGCCGGCATCCTTGCGACGGGCTTAGGCACGACGGGTGTGGAGGTTGAGGCTCAGGAAGTTGGGGTGTTTCGAGGCTCTGGGCAAACGAGACGATCAAGCAACCCCTCAGCGGAATGCTTTCCTTGAGCTTGCCCTACTTGGAGGTTCATGGGTAGTTATAAGTGGGGTTATAAGTCCCCCAATATGGGTTATAATTATAGTTACCCTACTTATAACCCTACTTATACCTACCCATGAACCTCCAAGTAGACAACCCTTCCCTGCACTCTTGTTTTCCAAGGTGCACCCTAAACCCTAAACCCTAAACCCTAAACCCTAAACCCTAAACCCTAAACCCTAAAGCCTCCGTGCAGGAACCTACGCCCTGCTCCATGCTGCCAAAGCGCAGTCGCGTCCGGTCCATGCGCTGCCGCCGGGTGGTGCCCCGTTATGGCTGGGGGGGTCGGGGGCCCAGAAACTTCAGAGAACCGCAGTTTGTTCTTCCAGTTTCAGGCCCCTATAAATATAAATAAACACATATATTTTTATATATACACAGACATGTATAGATACATAATATAAATCCCCACTTAGAAGCCAAACCTTACCGGTTGTGGGAGTCGAAAGTTTGCTGCAAGTGGCACTGCTGGGCTTTTTTTTGTTATTGTTCGGATGATTTCGTTTGTTATCATTGCAGTTTGTCTCCATGATTCATATCGTGTGCGCACACAGGAATCATCTACAAGATGCCAGGACACACTTCTGGTCTCTTCTGTTCGATCTCGCGTTCAGCGCAGTTCGACTTGGTGGTTTGCTCGTGAGTTGTAGCACTCGGGTATTTGAGGGAAGAATGTTCAGGACATGTTCCCTCGTCATGACCACTAAATATGGCGAGCTATGTGCCGCTGTGGGTGTGTTTATCAATCGGCAAGCCGGCAGTGTGTGCTCTAGGACCATGCTTGTGGGAATTCAGATCAAAAGTGTTTGAAGCCGGATACCCTCCAGGCATTACACGGCGCCTAAAATGAGTTTAGTCGTCGCATGGGCATTTCCCAGCCGCGCCTTTAAGCCCCAAAATGGCCCTGACGCCGAGAGCCTGGACCATGCTTCCTTAACCTCACCAAGAGAAAGCATAATGTATAAATACAGACATACTTGCAGACCTGCTAACCTACATACCTACATACCTACCGACCTACCAACCTACCCACTGACTTATTTACTTATTTACCTACCTACCTACCTACCTACCTACCTACCTACCTACCTACCTACCTACTTACCTACCTACTTACCTACCTACTTACCTACCTGCATACCTACCTGCGTACGCAAATGCAGACATACAGACATAAAAACAAACAAACATACATACATACTTACTTACTTAAATACACAACACATACATACATACATACATACATACATACCTAAATATATACATACACACATGCATATGTGTGTGTATACAGAAACAGACGCAGTATACAAGATAGTATGGTATACTATACTGTCGTATACAATAATTCGCTGCATCATACGGTAATATGACATGATATGGTTTCAATGTGCGAAAATGTACTACGTATGGTTTATTCCACAATGGATGCTCATGTGCTATAACATGCCAGCTCATGCCGAATATGATACGTCACAGTATAACACAGGACAATTTAGCAAAATCCAACCTAACCGAACAGAACATGATGTAACATAATGTGATGAGTATACTATAACAAGGTATGATATACTTTAACAAAACATACAAGGCCATTATCTTACAGGACAATAGAGCGTAATGAAATCTAACACAGGATAAGCTAGTACAATACACTGTAGTAATTCAATCTGCTACATATAATATAGGGTGTTTGCATATGTATGCACATACATAGCTTATTGCTTGTAACATAGAATGTGTGATCGACAGAAAAATGGGGGTTTCCGAAAATTAGGGGTACCTTATTTTGGGGTCCTTATAATCAGGATCCTATTATTTGGGGTACTATATCAGGGTCCCCTATTTTCAGAAACCCCCAAATGTTCTGCCCGGAGAGGCCGGCCTTGGCCATCTTAGCCCTTGGAACGTTTCTTTCCACGCACGGGCCCCTGCACCAAGCGAAGCCGAAGAATTTGGAGGAGCCTTGCAGATCCTATGTTAGTGAGGTGAACAGCGTCGGCTGCATGTTCATGAGCATGGTCGTAACAATTCTGCCCATATTATCTTGCTTAGTTGCTCATGTTGTATGCGGATTGGTCTGGTGCGCCACAAACCTAGCTGTGTGTGGGGGCCAAAGGCCGAGATGTAGTATGCAAGACGGGGATGCAGGTTTTCTTCGTAAAGTGTCAAATCTATTGTGAAAATATCGCCCCCCCCCAGTGACAATGCAATGTTGAAAGGCTGATTCGAAGGCACTAGATACTGGACTAGTCAGTAGGCGAAAGCAAAGCAACAAATCAGATTCGAAAATCCACGCTCATGTTCTTAAGTCGGCAGCGGGTGCATCTGCTCCGGGAGCCCTCCTATGAGTTTTTCTGTCTCGAAATGGGGGCGTGATGGAGGCTGAGAGGTGAAGCCGGCTGCTTGTAGTGCGAGTCTGCCTAGTTTGCAGCAGGTTTTGACACGAGATTCCAGGGTGACTGCGCTTGAAGATCCACTTGGGCCCGCGAGGACGTGAACCTTCGCTTGGACCACATGGTGGAACTTCTGAACCAGCATCTGCGCAAGGATGTGACGGAGACGTTCGGCTACTCGTTCGAGTTCAGTAGCAGCTTCCCAGAATCCAAGCACATGAGCCCGACAAACTCGTACTTGCATGCGGCTCAAGCACTCTTCTGGCTCCAGTCTTTCGGATTATTTAAATTAGCCGGCCCCTGGTTGCCATGATGCGGGCATTCAAAAAGCCCGGAGTCCAGCTGAGGTTTGGCCTCGGCCGTTCCTTTTCCGCGTTGGGCTTGCAGGACATCCCAGGACCTAAAGCGTGGCCGATCATAGGGGCCCTGCCCGACTTCCTGTCAAGAGTGAATGGCATGACCCAGCCGAAAGGCCCACAGATGAACAAGGCCTACAACGAGTACTACCATGAGTTTGGAGACATCTACAGGCTCTCACTTGTCGGGGAGGAGAATGTGACGGTTTGCAGACCTGAGTTGTACATGCAGATGTATCGAAACGAAGGAATGTACCCCGTGGGGACCCTCGACGGCGTTTGGATTGCCAAACGCTGGATGGAGGAGAACGACAAGAAGGCCCTGTTGGACTGGTCTGGGACGGGGGAGCCTTGGCGAAAGTACCGCCTTGCGGTGCAGGAAGACATTATCGGCCCGAAGACAGCACGGTCCTACCTTCCCTACATCAATGAGTCCGTCAACTTGGCGTCCACCCACCTGCCAACTTTCGCCCAAGAGCCGAATGAGTTCACTACGCGCCTGGCGTTCGACATGTTCAGTGCGTTGTTCTACGGCCGGCAGATGAAATTGACATCTCCTGATGCGAGTCCCGAGGACATGGACTTTGTGCAGAACACCCGTGAGATGTTCAAGCTGATGGGACATTCACTCTGGAACCGCCACCTTCAGATGGGAATCTTCCGCCATCATCCTGTAAATCGGGACTTTAACACGACTTTCACGCGGAGCTACGACTACGCGTGCCAGCTGCTTGATGAGGCGCTGGAAAGGTCGAAGGACATGCCGGCTGACACAAAGCCGTACATCGCGCGAATCATTGATCGCGGCAGCATCCCGGTGGACCACATCAAAGAGATAGCTGCGAGCCTCCTGCTGGCGGGCATTGACACCACCCAGGGCGTAATCAGCTGGAACCTCGTGAACCTTGCCAAGAACCCGGAGAAGCAGGAGATCCTAAGGAAGGAGCTCCTTGAAGTGCTTGGCTCGGGAGACTTCACCGAGGAGATCGCAGCAAACATGAAGACGAAGCTGCCCTATCTCAGGGCCGTGATCCGGGAGTCGCACCGACTCACTCCAGCCGGTGCTCTCATGGTCATCCGAGCGGCTCCCTGCGACCTCGAACTCGCTGGCTACAAAGTTCCGGAAGGCACCAGGGTGTCCTTCAACGTCTTCTCCGTGCAGAACGACCCCAAGTATGTCGAAGACCCATCGGATTTTAAGCCAGAGCGCTGGCTGGCGGAGGCCGTCGAGGCTCGCAAAGGAACCGAAGCGGAGGTGATCGATGATAAGCTGCTGGCTACACCCTTCTCCTTTGGTGCCCGCATGTGTTTGGGAGGTCGTGTAGCCGACCTCGAGCTTTGTGTCTCGATTGCCCGCTTGGTCCGAGACTGGCGCATCAGCTTGCCAAAGGATCAGAATGACTGGCTCAATGTGCAGACTGGGCTGATGACAGCGCCGGTACCTTTTCCTGCCTTTGTGGTCGAGGCGGCTTCTTAGATTCTTTCAGATGCTTCGGGCTTTCGGGGACTTGCTCCGAGAGCTAAATAAATTTAACAGTTGGGCTGAATTAGCCGCTGACTGACGGCCGTCTGGCGAAGCCGGACGGCGACACCTGCTAGGCCCACTGTGCCCACAGGGCGACCGTGGAGAAGAAAGAGGCCACTACTGTCACCGGTAGGTTTGTCAGCTTCACGTTCCATTCCCGTGAAGACGTGAAGACTTGATCGAGTGCTGCTGGAGAGTTCCCTCCTGCTTTCTTTTGGCAGCGATAGGCGATAGCTGATAGCTGTGCTCGAAGCTTTATCAAAGTCTAGCCATGCCCTCAAGGTGACTGCTCGGCGCTTTGGGACCAGCGCATGAAAGAAGGCGGCCTGCTCTGGGATGCCTTCCTAGTTTTGCGAAAAGCAGCATCTGAAAGTCGAACCGACGAAGATAGGAGAGGCTTGACGGGAAAGCGTGGAACAGTGCGTGGAACGGCAATCCCTGAGCCGCTTCGCAGCAACCTGCCAGGTGAGGTCTCTTCTAGCTCACAGTGGGCGAAATATGCAGACTGTCCCTTGGAGAGGTTTCCGCTTCCGACCAGAGCCGGGTCGAAGAAGCGCACTCTGCTGTCAGCCCCAGTCATGCCAAAGCACTTGTAGTGAGTTGAGTTGTGAGACTTGCACTGGCGAGCAAGGCTCTGGAACCACACCACTGCTGCAGCGCGAGACAGAGGTGGCAGCCTGAGGCTCTCAACGATGACTGCTGCTGCCGGTTCGGCTCCTCTTCCTGATTGTCCGATTCTTTCCTGTTGCGGCAATGCGTGATGCATCGTAATTGGCCGACGATGCCGTGCGCTTTGGCCGCTTCGACATCTTTGCCGCCACCGCCACCGCCACCGCCACCTCCACCCCCACCCCCACCACCTCCCCCACCACCACCACGAGGAGGAGGACGACGATGCCGACGAGCCAATGCATCGTCAGCATCATCGCCAGTGTCATCATCACTAGTATCGTGAGAGTTCGTTTAGGTTTGTGTTAGGCCTTAAGGCTGCCAGCTCCGTGTTCCGGCCTCAACATTTTCCTTTGGCTCGTGTTTGAGTTTGCTGTGGCCTCAGGCAGGGGTTTTACAGGTTCCAGGCGGTGCGTACCGAAAAGCCAATGGTACGGGGAGGAGCATGCTCAACCCGGAACAAGCGTGTGGCTGTAACTCATGTCTCAAGCGCGAGTGCCATAAACTTGAGACATGAGACGTTGAACTGCACGCAGAACTCGGCAACAGGGGGAAATGGTTTCAGAACCCGGCGCCAGAGCTCACCCGAGTCCGGAAGCCCCAGGGAGCACCTTGTCCCAATATGCAGCCATGCGAAGATGAGTGCCCCAGGCCCTTCTCGACCTGAGACGTACCTGACCCAAGCCTTGGAAGGGATCTGGGGAGGAACCTTAATTAAGGGGATTGTGGGGTCGAAGGCTCCGAACTCTAGGCTCTAGATGCCCAGGTGGGCCCAGCAACCTCCAAGCAGCTTGGCCCAGACGCAGAAGTTTCAAGGATGGGCCTGACGTAGGTTTCAAGTGTCCAAATCTGACTGCGTGAGAGCAGGAGAAGGCGAGTGTCTTGCTTGGTGTGAGATTTTCGGTGAGATTCTCTCAAGAGAACAGGCCACTTCCGAAGCCTTCGGGCCATGTTCAAACAGCCTGGCCCAATACTCCTGAAATGCCAGGGTATGCCTTAAATTAGGCGAAGGAATCCTGCACAGTTCAAGGTGGATTCCTCGGTACATGGATATTTCGGCTCTCTGGGCGCATGACGAACCCAAGTTTATGTCAGCTATTGGGAGCCCGAGGCATCGTATGAAGCTCGAGGCCCTGTGGGCGAAGGCTCACCTCAGAGTGCACACGAGCGGTTTTCAGGGTTTCAGAACGAGAGTCGATGAGTATCAGGGCTTTATCTGTTGAGCTGCCGTGACGGAGGGCTCGTACCATAAACTTCTCATGTCACAGCTCCCGGCACTGAGCCTGATCCTTAAGAAGCGCAGCTTGCCTTCTACGCTCAGGGTGTGAACTCTTTGGAGTTGGAGACCCTCCGGTTACGTCGTCCACCGGATCTCTGGCAGGTGCGGAGAGCCGTGGAATCCGGGTGCCCAAAACTTTCGGCCGGAAGCCTCAAAGGGCACCCAAACCGCGAGGCTGACCAACTATGGCACCTTGACATCCGGGCGGCTTTCGCTGACCTCCATGCCACCGGGCTTTGCCAAGGATTTAGGGCTTTAGGACTCACGTTTCGATTGAGGTGGAGCTGTCTGTGGAGCCTCTTGCCTCTGAGCCACCAAAAAGCCTGAGGTGTTCATGAACGTTTTCGTGGACGGCAAGGAGTGGTACAGCGGCAATGTGTGCTGCGATGAGGCGTTTCACTTCGAGCTCCAAGCAGCTCACCTACAGCTCTCACGGTTCCCATGCTCCCATGCCTTAAACCCGGAACCGGAATCCCGAAACCCTAAACCCTACACCCTAACTTAAATGGACACCCGCATTCCGGAACCTTAAAGCCTACACCCAAATTCCCACGCACCTTGTCAAAGACATCTCGAGACCCGCAGCTGCGACCCAGGTCACTGTCCAATGCCGGCAGGGCCTGGGATTCGACGCCATGGAGCTAAACTTACTCCACATGGACAAGGCATCGGACTTCCCCCCAACCAAAAGGGTGACTATGGTGCGAGCTTGCGATCGACCGATGGTCTGGGAACGATATGTAAGGGTCCAACAAGCCTGCGCAATAGGGCTCCGGCACATAAATCACTATGCAGTCGGAAAAAGGTGTCAAGCAAAAAACCCTCAGTCGTGGACAGGGGATCAGCTCAGCTGTATCAGGCCCACCTAACACTGTGAGACCTCGCCTGTGAGAATGTAAGCCCTCAATCCTCTAAACCTGGACGCTGCAACCGCAAGGTGGTCCTGGCACACAACGCCGCGTGACTGGGCTGATGCAGGGCTGCGTCATCGGAGGGTCTAAGTTAAGGTTTAAGGTCACTTTGGTGCAAGTTCCGAGTCCTCCGCTTCAGAGTTCCCACGTTTAAAAGCACACCTAAAGCCCACCTCGACCGACCCTGCCCGAAAGAAGCAGCACTAAAGTCCAAACCCTGAACTTCAACCCCCCGTAAGCCCTCGGCACCCCAGCCTTAAGCCCTAGCCCTGTACTCTGTACACCTCTATACCCTACCCCCAGACCGGAAAAGCTCCCCTAAAACATACACCCTATACTCTCCTATGCATCCCTATACCCTAAACCCTAAACCCTAAACCCTAAACCCTAAACCCTAAACCCCAGACCCAGACCCAGAACCCTAAACC